ATCCACTGATAAAGTTAGAACCCTCATGATGCAATCACTTCCTGAGAACCCCACCTCAGAACACTGCTGCATGCAGACCTTTAGCACATGAGCCTTTGGGGGTCTTTCCAGACCCAAACTATAACAAGGATAAAGGAAACTGAATTCTGTTAAGGCATTAGCTTATCTTATCGGTCATTCCTTTCCATTTTCCTGGTCTCCATTTCTGTTACTGAAACCATCTCTTACTTTCTGCTTTCTTCAACCTTTGGAAATAATAACAGAGCTCCTACCCCAGTGAGATTTACTTTTAACTAATGGGGGAGGGGACAAGGGTAAATAACTAAAACAAGATGAGTCATGTGATGATTCCAAAGATGGGTAATAGGTACATGAGGAGTCATTCCACTATGTTCTCTCTGCTTTTGTTATTGGAAATGTACATAATAAAAAAGTTGTTTTCTTTAACCATACTCCATAACCATTGATTTAGAAGAGTAAGTCTACTGAACTAAGCTTTCACCCTTCCCAACCCATCCCATCATCTTGACACCCATATCTTCTTCCTTAGCATCTCATAGGAAGACAATGAGTTCTGAATCCCATCAAGTCATGTCTCCTTAAATATCTTGATTCTAAAACCATCATTTCTTACTCCCACATCTTTAGTCTTGTACCCTGTTGACTCATTTTTTACTGTATTTTTTTAAAAGGGCTTCACTCAACTATACAGACCTTTATTAAGTAAATGAAAATAAGCATGTTTATATTTTTCAAAAACCCACATAAACTAAAAATTGACTTAAAAATAAAAGCTTTTTTTTTGCACTTCTGACTTAAAATAACAATAACACATCTCAGTAACAYGTGTTAGAAATACTACTCAATGCAAAAAATACTTGTACATTTTCACCTCAGTAGTATTGGCAAACCTTGTCTCTTCCAAATTCTCATTTGAACAGGTGAGGAGAGGGATGCCCATACTTATGATAAACCTGAGCAGAAGACCCCCCAACCCCTTTTAAAAATCTATTGCTCTTCTATTAAAAGGACCTGGAAACCTCCTTGAATATGATCAAATTCCAAGTATAATTCAATTTATATCTTTTGTAGTTTAGTACCATGCACTGTTAAGAAATAACTTTCTACCAGCTAAGAATTTAAAAGAAAGTCACTATCTGAAACGCTGGAGGTGGTCTGGAGACCTGTAAGAGTTCCACTGAAAAGGGCCATCAGCTTTACCCAGGCTCTGTGGAGTAAAAGAAAGCACACAAGCTTTGAAACTACAGTTGAGTTCAGATCCCAGGGTAGTCACTACCTGTGCTTAGTATTATTAGTATCTCGGTGGCCTCATCCAGAAAACGCAGCAATCCAGGACAGCCAGCACTGCTCTTTGGATTCCAGATGAAACCAAGAGTCCGGCATGAAGCTGGTGTGCTGTGCACAGTAATTTGTTGAGACCTGAGAAAACTTCAGGGACAAGGTACACTCAGGCCAAAGAGTGCAGTAAGGCAGGGGTAGGTGGCCTCAAGTGACTTAATCCAGGAATGCCCTCCTCAGAGACCCCTGGGCACTATCCCTATGCTTTTCTTATTTGATCTCTGAGAAACCGAGATGAGGGGGAAATGGGTAACGAGGGGACTACAGAGCCTCCTTGCCTGGAGGCCTGGCGTAGCTGAAGTGTGACCACAGCGATAGAGGCATCCGCAGCCCAGGGGCAGGAATAACCACCAAGACTTTGCCCCAAATCAGCCTCCCCGGGATAGACCTTCGGCTCCGAGCCCGCACAAAGTGCTGAGTCACCGTGAGGAGGCACCGCGCGCAGGGAAGGCGGGCCCCGCGCAGTCACGTGGCGGAGGCTGTATCACAACAACGGCGMGGCGTGCAGCGCCCGCAGCCCGCGCCGCTTCCTCCCGCGACAGACCCGCTCTCCGAGCATGCTCAGCGCGGTCGCCCAGTTCCCCAGCGGTCTGGCTCCACTGCCCGGGTTTTTCCAGCTTCCCTGGAGGCGGGGCTTGTGCCCGCGCTGGGTGCTAGCTGGCGAGGATGTGCTACTCAGACCACCACTAGGCAGGGTGGGTTCCAGTGGACCGATTCCAGTATTGTCCCGTGGAAGAAATGACCTTGGATCGACCTTTAATCGTGGCCTAGGGAAGATCTGATTCTGCAAGATATGAGTTTCTGCATCTCCCTTTAGCAATGGTTAAATCCCTAATGCGCCTGTCAGCTGAAAACGCTCTCCCAAGTGTCCGAAACGGAGCCCGGAGTAATCTAYAGAATGAATTCGAGAAGTAGACCTGTAAATGTAAAGCACTGTCAAATATGACCCTTTGATCCGTGGTGTTTCTTTATTTCTTCTTTTTTTTTCTTTTAACAGAAATAACTAAAGGTATTAAGAAGACCATGACTTAAATTTGACATGACTCAATGCCGGACCCAATTTAGGGTTGTCCAGAGCCCATAGGCTTTGGTTCGTAATTCAGGGGCAATTTGGGAGAGGCCCCCTTAAGTAAGTTTGAACCAGAATCTAAGGCTCAATCAACAGTGTTAACTGTTAATTCGTTTAGTATAGCGTAGGACTTCCGCTGTATTAGAACTTGGTCTTTTTACTGAACCACGCAATTCCGTATTTCCTCATTAAAATGAAGTTCACAGTCTCCTAAGAGACCGGCTGCACTGGGWCACTGTGAGGAAACAGCAGGTGTATGTAAAGGTCTATGCCAGCGCTGTTTCAACGAAGTGGCATGCAAAACACATATGTAACCTTAAATTTTTCAGTAGCTACCTTTAATAGCTAAAAAAGAAACGGGTGAATTAATATGAATAATTATCCTAGTTACTCGGTATGTCTTAAATACTATCGTATCAACATGTAATCAGTGTAAAAAATTTTTTTGCGGTCCTTTTATTTTTTTAATTTTGAGACAGGGTCTCCTTAAGTGCTGAGACTGGCCCCTAACTTGAGATCTTCCTGCCTCAGCCTGAGGAGGCGCTGCAGTTCAGTAGGCCTGTGCTGCAGTAGCCATCAAAATAAACTTTTTAATGAAATGTTTACATTTTTTGTATTAAGTCTTTCAATCTGTGTGTATTACATTCAGTGCATTTCCGGGGCCATACATTTACCTTGGAAATACTTGATTTGCATTTAAATTTCATAAAATTTACACTGAAAATTCAGTGAACTCACATTCCTAGCTTGTTCCAAATTTGAAGTTTTCCAATTACCAAATGAAATACCAATTTTCAAAGTATATTTAGATCACTTAAATTAACTAAAAGTTAAGTTTTCAGTCATGTTATCCACATATTAGATGCTCAGTTACCACCTATGGTCCATGGCTGTCATGTTGATAAAGGTGGGTCTATGAAAATGTAGGATGAGATTATGAGAATGATCAGATAGTCTTTTAGATGCCTCAATCTGTGGGTGAAACATGTTTCTCTTCCAGCCCAACTTTCTACATTCCACAAAAAATTAACACTTATTAGGCACCTGCTGTATACTAGACACTTTCCTAGAATTAAATGTCCAAGCATAAGTCATCTTTATCCCAAAGGAAGTCACTACCTAGTGTAGACATTTTAAAATTATTTTAAAATATTTTTAAAATTATTCATCATTATTACAAATATAGGCATGCACAATTCAACTAAAATAAAGAGAGAGGTAACTGGGATCAAAGGGTGAGCAGAAATATGTGAGGCTGGAAAATTCTGAGCAGGAAGAAAGCCAAGACCATCTACAGGTCTGGTGAGGTTGGTGGAGAGGGCATTACAATAAGTTGGGACAGTAGCTGTAGTTGTTGAATGGATTGAGGAAAACTTAGAAGGAGCCTTGGTTTTTATTCCAGTTGTACAGTAGGAATTGAAATATCAACTCCTGATTTCAAACATCACCTTTCCTATTTTCACAGTCCCCCACATACATACACATATCCCACTGTGAAAATCACAGCCAGACCTTCAGTATCTCTGTCTCCCACCTCTGCAAGAAGACTCCTATTATACAGTTACCCAGCAATTGAATGTTTATTAAATGTTAACTCTACATTCAAGAGAAGGAGGCCTAATAAATACACACTTTCTGGCCTCAGTACATGTATGATCTAGTTGCTGACACTTTCCCCCTGACGTGTCATATAATTTCTGTCAGCACTACTTATTGAACAAATTACTTAGGGGCAAGGTGGCAACTTCAGTTGTTCCTAGTAGTTTCCGTATCTGTGATAATCTCATGTAAACATCACTGTGATCACTTGGTGGACAAATCTTAGGTTTGGACGGAGAATAAATTAGGAAATGGTTCCTTCCTATGGTCTATCTGGAAATGTTCACAAAACCCCTTTTACTGCAGTGAATAGTGTCTGTGCCATCTAGAAAATATGTCATCAAATAGAGGATACACAAATAATGAAAAAATATATATGTATCAAAAACCTTGTAGACAAATTGATTCCTCCTGATAACCAGGTGGATTTATTGACAATSAACTCTATTCATATCTACACTATGTACATCCTTAAAAGATTCCATAAAAGTTATGATTAATTCAATCTTAAACAGGTAAAAGTTTTTTGTCAGTAAGTGGTGGAGCCTAGATTTGTATTTGTATTTCATCTAACTTCCCCAAATTAATATCTTTCACAACATATCTGCTGCTCTCACCCTCTTCTTACAGGTGTGAGACTTTTTCCACCTAAAAAGTAATCTGGTGTATTCTTCATTAATTCATTTAACCAATCTTCTTCTTCAACTATCAAGTTTTGTTTAATTGAGGCCTGGGTCACTCCGCCCTCTCCCCTCCCCTTCTCTGAACCCCTCCCCTTCTCCCCGCCCCGCCTCCCGAGAGCACCGCCCTACGACTCTGTCCCAGCCACGCCTGCCACGCCTCCTCCGCAGCCCCTAGCGACCCCTCGGGTTCTCAGCCACGCCCCCCTTTCTCGCACCGCCTCTTTTCTCCGCCCCCGCCCGCAGTCTATAAAATCCGGAACGCCGGATCACGTCCGGGAGCGGCGAGCCAGCGGACGCGGAGACTGGGCATGCTCCGCAGCGGCGCAGGTTTTGGACACAAGTAGGAAGAAACCAGTGCAGGACACCGGCACCGAGAATCGGGAGCCGCCACCGGCGACTTAAAGCCGAAGCAGGCGGGAGTCGGAGCGGTCTGAGATCCGCCGAGACTGTCCTGCCGCCTTTTGCCTYTGTCTGCGCGGTGCTTCGGACCCGGGGTCTGTCACCTGGGCGGCAGGGATCCCCGCGCCGGGAGCCAGAACGGATAGGACCCTCCTTCTGTCTGCTGCGGCCGGAGGGCGCCCCCCTGAGTGGAGCAGCCGCCGCCTTCTGCGGACCGCTGAGTGTCCGGCTCGCGCCCGGCGCCCGGAGCTAGCGACTGCCACCGTCAGCTCGAGGAGGAGGGGGCGGCCATGGGGCTGCTGTCCCAGGGCTCGCCTCTGAGCTGGGAGGAGACCAAGCGCTACGCCGACCACGTGCGGCGGCACGGGATCCTCCAGTTCCTGCACATCTACCACGCCGTCAAGGACCGGCACAAGGACGTGCTCAAGTGGGGCGACGAGGTGAGCGCTGCGACCGGTGCCCCTGCCAGGTCACCGCGCTCCTTTGTTCCGCCAGGCAGGACCCGCACCCTCATCCCCGGCTCATCTCTGTCGGTCCCCTGCCCTGCGCCCCGGCGCTGTCTCTGCCCTTACGGATCGGTGTGCAGGGCCACAGGCCCTGGGGGCCCTGCCTGAGCCCCTTAGCCAGACTCCCATCTCTCCCCAGCTCTCGTTTGTTCGTTTATTCATTCATTCATTCATTCATTTAAGCCTTCCCCTTCATTCAAGAAACGCGGATTGGGTGCTGGGAGGATGTGAGCATGAAAAAGTGTGTATATACATGTGTGTGTATACATACGTATACAAAAAAGTTTTGTGTAGCTGCTGACTGAAGGCTACCGCCACCCACTGTCCCATCTCAAAATTCATCTTTGCGATTAATGTGAACGGGACTAAATTGTTCTAGGAGGCCTCTTGCTTTTAGAAGTCAGGTCTAAAGGATGTACATCCTTACATCATACAGCCCTACCTACTCATCTAGGTGTTTTTGTTAAACTTCTCTGTCTTTAACCGCCAACTTTTATAGCTATAAATTGGAACAAGTTACAGCTCAGTTTTCCTAAAGGAGGAAGGAACCTTCGGTTCCTGTTTAAGCATAAGTGGGAATGTTTTAAGTCTTCAAAGTTATGATTCTTCAGTGCTTTCCTAGGATGATCTGAGTCCTGCACCTAAACTTCACCATTCAGCGCTTTAGCATGTGTTCTGCCTGGAGATGAAATCTTTAGATTTTCAGTGTTGAAACATTATTTATTGGAATGATCTGGAAAGCAGCAATGTTAAAAATTGTTACATTTAGTCTTTTCTTCCAAAGTTTTTTGTGCCCTTCCTGTTTTTAAAAAACATTACTATGCAGTACATATTATTAAAAGACTTCTTGAGAAGTCTGTGTCTGTTTTGCATGGTTTGGGCACTTGCTGTAGATGTTTTGCTACTCCTGTAATTTATCTTCTGGTCAGTGTTGTTATCACTCTTGGTCCAAGTGTGGAAGTGCTGCCATACCAATGCAGAGTACCTAATTGCAAAAAGTTGGTTTTTCCTGTTTCTAAGATTGGTAGATAACTCTGCTGATTTAAATTAGAAAAGTAATAATGACTAGTAATTCCTGTTTCTACGAAATGTTCTCTCACACTTTGGACAGAAAAAGGATACATAAAATGTGTTTGGTAGTTCTTAAGTTTTAATCTAAAATTCAGTATTTCTTTATAACATCTGCATTTATACATTTATTTGTGTATTCCATATCACAGGAAAATATCAGCCCTGGGAGGAGGGACTGATATTTAGGAGGGACACCATGCTTCTKGCTTACCTGTTTTTCTAGGATTTAACCTTGTGCCTGGTATGGTTGGTATCAGGTACTTGTGCAACTAGTTAGAATTTTACTTGTGCCTGTTTCACATCAAATTAGGACTACCTTTATAGTCACTGTCCCAGATAAAACTGTATATCAACAGACTTTCAACACAGTTGGAGCACAGGAGCTCACTCTGGAGAACCCTCTTCGCTACTTATCTCCATTCATGGAGAAGTTTTGAAATGTATTTCTCCTGTTGSCAGAAAGAACATTTAAAACTACCTACTGTAAGTGACTTTAGTGGTTGAATGAACTGGTGTGAGAAGAGTGAAGTGTGGGCCTTGACATGTGATAACATACATATGTCTCTACTTCAAAAGACTCATGGAGAGATTTGCTTCTCCTTCTTACCCCAAAAGATGAAGAGAAGCAAAAAAGAGTGGCAGTAATGTGTACTTGTATTTTGCTTTTATAAAGGGGAGAAAATTGGGCACAGCATTTTAGCCAGGTAACAAACTTCTTGAAAAGATSATGATGTGCACATATATTGAATGATTAAGACTTCAGGTTTGTCATGATTAATAAGCTGACTGAATACCCTGCTCTTACATTAGAATGTGCCAAAGATCTATGAAAACTTTCATTAGTGACTGTTGAAACTTTATCTTCAAATTTCATGTTCCAGATATCTGTTATATATTGTAAATGAAATACAAAGCTACAGATTGCTTTTTAAAAACTTGAACTGCTTCTCCTTTAACTAGTATTTTTCTGTTTATTTCATGATCTTTTCTATCCCTTAGATTTTTTCCTAAAAAAAAAATCCTTTGACCCCTCCCCACTAACAAATCAGCATCCTTCAGAGTGGAGAGTTGACTGTTTAACAGAAACTTGAGGTTGAAAAGTTATCTTAAATGAAAAAAAAAAAATCTGCTCACTTATTATTATATTAGATTTTTCTGTCATCTCTCTGGTTGGAGTATAAAATTTTTCAAGACTAGTGTTCTGTCTGTTGGAAATGGGTAGCCTGTCACAGGGAAAGGATTACAGTTGTGAAATTTGCCTGGATGGTTAGAAAAAATGCTCCACTCTACTTTTTATTTCTGAAATGTCACTTTAGTGATGCCCCATATCCTTCAACTCCCATCTTATGGACAGGGAGAAAGTGTGACATTCCCTAGGGGATCTCATGTCTAAGGATTTGTCGACCTCTAACTATTCCTCCGTCTTCTTACCAAAGTAATCACCTCTTATGAGTTAGAGGATTATTTTTCACACTGAGGCCATGATCCATAGTGGGTTGAGAAATTTTGAAAACTTCAACCAAGACTGTTTATTTTTGTATAGGAACACTTATCATGCAATCTACCTTCTTAACAATTTTTAAGTATGCAGTAAAGTGTTGTTAACTACAGGAACAATGTCCTACAAATCTGCAGAATTTGTTTATCTTGCATAATGGAGACATCATCCTTGTGGATTTTCAACTCTTCATTTTCCCCTCATCTTAGCCCTTGGCAACCACTATTCTACTCTCCGATTCTAGGAGTTTAGGTATTTTAGCTATCTTATATAAGTGAAATAATACATTATTTGTCCTGTGACAGATTTATTTTACTTAGCATAATATTCTCAATGGTCAGTCATCCAAGTTGTCACATAATGAAGGAGTTCCTTTTTTAAGGCTAAATAACATTCCATTGTTCATATATACCACATTTTCTTTATCCATTCTTCTGAGGATGAATATTTAGATTGTTCCCACATCTTGGCCATTGTGAACAGTGCTGCAGTGAACCCTGAAGCGATAATATCTCTGTCAACCAAAACATTTTGAAAATGAAATTGAATAGTATGGAGAATATTGCTGCCCATGCCTTTCTATTACAAGTTACTGGGGAGGCTAAGGGAAGAGGATCACAGGTTCAAGGCTATCTCAAGAGGATCACAGACTTAGCTAGGTCCTGCCTCAAAAATAAAAAGGGCTGGGAATATAGTACAGTGTGGTAGAGCAACCCTGGGGTTTAGTCTCCAGTACTGCCAAAAAAACAAAACGAAAAAACCCAAACCCACACACACAAAATAATTTATCATATATTGAAAGAGTATGTCAAACTTTTGAGTTRCTTTTTTGAGAGTGTGTAAACAGGGTAAGTTGCAGGTAAATTCTTACTGTGGTTCACAGGTGAAGGAGTTTGAAAGCCTTTCTTGTTGAAGTGAGCGCTATGGGAAAAGCTGGAGGTTGGCATGAGTCCTTGCACAGAGCAGGAACTCACTATTGCCTGTACTGACTACAATTCTGAAGACTGGGTTAGAAGCCTTGGGAAGTTCCTGAGAAATAGGCTGAGCAGATAAAAGTAGAGAAAGGTGTGGTGAGTGGTGTGGCCCCTGGAGATGAGGGATGGTCCTGCTAGACAGAAAGTAGTGTTTTGGATGTGATAAGTTGTAGTGTATGGGCTTGACACCAAATACTGCTTTTCATGGTTTGTTGTTGCATTTATTTATAGGACCATGCTTGCTTTTTTCTTTTAAAAGGAAAGAATCAAACAAAAACTCTTAAAACTTAATGTAGGTATGGTTGGAAGAGCGCCTTCAGCTTTAGAAATGCTGAGCCCTACCTACCAGAGCATTATTTACATCTTCATACCAGAAAGAACCCTGGATTTAGGGTTCATTTGTGTTCTAGTCCAAGGTCTGCCAAATGCCCTGTGTAATCTAGACCTTCAGTTTCCTTATTTGGAAAAGGAGAGGGTTGTACTCTCTTACCCCTTCCAGCTTTTATAGTTTAATTAATTACATTTTGAAAAGGTTTTTAATAATGTACATATTTTAAGCCCTAATATGTTAACTCTGAGATTCACCTGAAGGTGCCAACAACCAGTCACTGGTAAAGTGGATTGTGTTGTGAAGACCCATATATGCTGGTTTATGGGAACTCTAAAGTATTTTCCTAGGGGAACCTTATAAGTCCATAGATTCCCAAATCAGCATACTGATGCCTGTTTTACCTTTAATATTATAGGTCAGAACCTTATTATGTATTATGCTCTTACAGTGGGAAATAAAAGTCCTAACTCCAATACAAGATACCTTGTATTACTCCAGGATAGCTGATGATGGAAAGGGTATTTAGGCCACTGATTTTTCTTTGTTTTTTTTTTTTTTTAATGCAAAAAATAAACACTTGTTTTTGCATAGCTCACACACAATTTTCAGATATTTTATTCATAACTTGGTATGGGAATATTGAAAGACTGAGCTAGGAGATCTGTGATATAAATATGGTAATAAATCTGTCTCTCTATTGTTCCTAATCACACTGGTAGTAGGTGTTAGCTGCCTCCCAGGCCTTTCAACTACCTAGTAGAAGAGACATCAGAATTGAAATTGTCTGATTCCACGTCCATTTCTTAAACACTTTATACCAGGTTTTAGAATATATGAGATTTTTATAAAATCTTTTACAGAGTTTATAAAGTATAACGTTGTAAAGGTATCAGAAGATGGCATGTACAATTGAATGTTATTTTTCTAGTTTTTAAGCCAAATGTAATGGTTCTCAAAGGCAAGAAGGTAAACTGTCTTCTAGTTGACAGGAAAGTCCATACTGATCTGGAGATGAAAATACAGTGTATAGTTACTTAGGAATTTCAGTATAACCTGTGTA